AGGGAAGTGTCCAATATGTACTTTTGCTAGACACACAATGAACTTCACTGCTTGGCAGGTTTTTGTGTGTGATGCTGTGAAAAACACCCACAAATGTGTATCACAAAGTGGGATTTATAACACTACAAAGAAACAGCTCCGCGGGATGAAGATGTGACCACTGGGTTTAGGGACTGACAGTCACTTTTCAATCCAAATACTGTAATTTAAGTAATAAATAGCTCTAAGAAGAGGTAATTTTCCCTTCACCGTGAAAAACCCAACTCATTCTCTTTCTCTTATCTGTCCACCTCAGGCTACACAGCACATTTTAGGAGTGGACCAAGAGATGGCAATCACATCCAGCCTAGACCGAGGAGAGACCGTAATTCATGTTTGATACTGAACCATCTTGAACAACACCAATCTTATGAGACCTGCAGTTCTTTGAGATATCCAGCATCTAAGACAGCATCCAAACCAGATCTATTGAGTGAGCCCGTTCCAACTTATTTTATTTGATCCAGATTTTTATTGCATTTGGATCCATTCTGTTTTCTTTTGGGATATTCATTTTCCATTGTTAATTGCACTGTGTTGCAAATTATAAAATGACCTTCCCTTCCTCTATTATGGAGATGCCTTTGCAAATAAAGATAAATGTGAAACTTTTCAGATATCTATGGGTATATCTTACCATGCCAAACAAGTAACTATTTATGATATAATTCCAATGACGCAACAGCACAGAAATTCAGGAGACTAAATGTTCAAGTCTGATCTAGAAGTTACGTCTGACTAACTACAGCATAAGAGCTATTGAATGTTATCCCTTAAAAATAACATGTGTATCTGTATTAGCTATCATTTTAAAAATTGTATGTTCTAGCTCAGTAAGTACCAGGTAATATATTTAGCTGTCGCCACTGAAGAGGCAAAGGGACCACATCAGTCATGTTAGGGATACTCAATGTGTTGCAGCGATTGACAGCTGCTCCACTGGCCCAACAATTAACATCTTCTGTCATCACTACAACTGTCATAACTCCAGAAAGGAGGCCAAGACATAGAGGTGCAGGTTTAAGCAAGCAAGCAGAAGTTAAAATACAAAGGGGGGACTTCTTATGGCATAAGAGCAACCCAGAAGAGACGCGAGTACTGGAAAGTCGTCTTTTGGTAAGATTCACATGGCTGCAACCACCACCTCTGGGTCTAGCTTCCTTCAACATCCTTCTTTTGAAGGCTTTTCCTCTCTCCAATTACACTCACGTGCCGAAGCCTTAGACGGTTACACATCTTGGTTTCACATTCTGTCCAACTATTCACAGCTGAAAAGCCAGTTGAACCATGAGAGACATTTTTTCTTTAAACACATCTAGGAGATAGAAGACATTCAGGTAGCTGAAGCCCTGATGCAACTGAGATTTCTATTTGATTTGCTTGGAGATAAAAAAAAAGGTATCTATCTTTGGTATGAGTCTTTCTAAAGTGCATGCGAAGGCAGGAAAAAATAGAGCGAGGGCAGGGATAGAGGAAAATACAGACATTGTTTTTGTGCACTAATGACTATTATACCGGGATCAAGAAACAGATAGACATGCAGCTATCCTGGGGTAGCCACATGCTATAGGCCTCACCACTAGGTAGGAGGGAGCACCACCTTGTTTTTAGCAAATACCTACCCTCAAGATGGACATGGACATACTCCTAAATCATTGCAACTTATACCAGGGAGGTTTCGCCTCTGATCCTTTCAGAGATCATCCCCTATCAGTTTGAGCAATGCTACCTGTTTACACCGTCTAGTCTGTCCACGTCCTAATTCTTCTAAACTAGCGTGGAGTTTTGGTGAGAGCCACTAGCTCTTACTCGAAATCAAGCTAGCTTAGAAGTTCCTTCCCAGTTTCATAGTTTCACAGTAGCTAGGGTCAGGAGGGACCTGAACAGATCATCTAGCCTGACCCCCTGCCACAGGCAGGAATGAATGCTGGGTTCACAAGACACCAGACAGGTGATCATCCAGCTGCTATTGAATTTGCCCAAGGTAGGGGCGAGGACCACTTCCCTGGGAAGTTGGTTCCAGATTTTGGCCACCCTAACTGTCAAATATTGCCTTCTGATCTCCAACCTAAACCTATTCTCCGTCAGCTTATGACCATTGTTCCTCGTCACCCCAGGTGGTGCTGGGGAGAAAAGAGCTCCGCCTATTTGCAGTTACTGAGAACAAACAAAAGTATTGTCTTCATTTTCTACACATTTTACCAATTTAAGCCTGCTG